CACACACACAGACAACCTCTTGTCAATATGCGTTTTTTGCATTGCATAACTGCAAAAAACGCATAAAAATGATAGTTAAATCATCGATATAATGAAAACGCTGTCCGACAATACTACAGGAGGTAAAAATTTGTTAAAATGAAATGATTACAGATCAAAAATATATTAAAAAAAATAGTTTCACACATTAGCAATACTGAAAATTAATGCATTGGTAAGTGGTGTCTACCTACAAATTCACCAGAGAATGGAAAAATAAAGGCTGATTATTAGAGAGCCCTCGCAAAAGCGGATCTTCAATAGCACTATTAATCGGTAGCTGCTATTAATAAAGATACCAGTGATACGATTTGTATCACTCCTGAATGGCTCTGATACTAAAGCGGATCGTAACAGACTTTTTAGTAACAACAGAAAATTAGCCTCAGTGCAAGAGGGAGACAGGCTCTTAATATTTCGAGCTTTTTTTCGCAGTCCGATCTAATGAATGACGACTACTGCAGAGACCCGTGCTTGTTAGTGCTAAAAAAAAAAAAACTTGTATGGTGATGCATCGACTCAAAAGAAGTGCACTATCATCAAATCGTTGCATTCACTTATAATAAACAGCAAAAACTTGCCTTCCCGGTAAAATAATGAACATCCACTTGGCCGCGCATACATTGCGAACAGTTTACAACAATGCAACCTCGGTCAATCGCTTTCTTTAATTCCTCAATGATATCTCCTCTTCTGGATGGCATATTACCTGCACCAAATGTTTGTAAGACAACTCCCTCTGTAGGCAGTTGTAAAGATGCACGAACCTGAAAAAAAAAAAATTTTTCACCGGAACCAATTTCACTTCTGACTCGTTTTTAGCTTCTGCTGACCCAAAAATGTTGCTCAGCAAGTGCTTAACTGAATACTTTTTATATGATAATAATCGGTCTGAAGTGGCACACGGCACTTTATGAGTAACTACTGCAGTTATGTAATTAGAATAAGAAAAGCAAACTGTTTCAATTGAAATTGATGGGAAAATCCTGAGCAGCCCGACATTCCGGCAGAAATGGTCGTGCACTCTAAATGGCGCCACTGACGGTGAACGATATATCGAATCGTAATTGACTGCAATGCACAACAGACGTAAATTGGATGGGAAATAAATCTTCTGATGAAATGCGATAAATTAGAATTTATGCGCATGTAAGAACAACAGCACTACTTCCAACAATCGGTATTAACGTGCTTACTTTTTATGTCGACATCCATGTGGGCAATTGGATGCATATTGGGGCTGTCGAAAGCTTCCAGCGCACTGTTGTCCACTTTTGTCGTCCGGTTCCCACGAAACAGTTTGCTGTTGAAGTACACGGTCACTTCAGGAATATCAAAATTGCCCGCAATTATCAATGCACCTATCAAATTTTCTCGACCATCCGAGCGAACCTCACATACCGGGATCTAAAAATCAGAAACAACTGGTTTCCA